GTCTTCCACCACCTTGTTTGAGAGCAGCACTGGGGCTCAAAAACACATTCATAGGTGCTTTTGCTACCAGGTGGCTGAAACTTTTTTATCCCAGTAAGCACCAGACAGCAGGTTGCCTGAGGACACTTCTATTACAGAACCCAAATGGCTCGAGCTGCTAAGTGGGGAGACTGGAACAAGACTGGGCCAGGCCTGGGCTGTGCTGAGCACAACCTGTTTGGCCAGTGGGTTGCTAGGCACTGCTCTGTCTTCTGGGGCCAGCTGGTGGCTGAGCCAAGGCTGGCTGTTAGGCAAAGACAAGTTTCTCAGTTCCCAAGTTGGAATCTATTGCTCAACAAGTATCTCACCCAGGTGGTACCTCAAGGCAGCTGCTCTTTGTGTAGAAATTAGATGTGGCCTGTCTTTACTCTAATTTTGCCAGTAATCAGCCTTGGCTGTCCACCTCTCCACTCTTTCACCTGTATTTCAGGAAAGAATTTGTAAAATTGTGTGAAATGACAATGACCTGTGTGACAGGAAAATGGAGTCATATGAAGGGCAAGAGCATGGCTGACCCAAAGGCATGAAGGAGTCTGAGAAGAGGCCTGAGGTGGTCAGGTCTGGGTAGCAGGACCGCATGTGGTTGAGAAGGCCAAAAGTGTTACTTGTTCAACAAGATAAAAGTGAGAGACGAGAACATGAAGATTGAGACAGACATAACCCAAAAGAAACCAGGAGAACCCATGTGTTAGCTTTGGTTTCTATGACAAAAGACCTGAGAAGACAACTTATAGGAAGAAAATGTGTTTTGGCTCATGAATTCAGCTGGTTTCAGCCAGCTCCATGTTTTTCTACCTGAGGTGAGGTAGGACATTGTGGTGGGAGGGTGTGTAGGAGAGGGCTGCTTCTGGCAGCCAGAAAGGGAGGAATGGGCTGGGCATGAGACACAGGCTTCAAAGCACTCCCTTTCCTCAGTGACTCGCTTCTTTCTGGGCCCTGCTCCTGAGGGCCACTGAGCTCTAAACTCTGCAGTGCCCTCCTGATCCAATTACCTCTCTAGGTCTCACCTCTAGGCACTGGGGACAAAACCCTCAGTTCATGATTCTTTGGGGGATACTTCATATTTAAACAATTACAGTCAGTTTTCCGGGGAGACCCCACCACTCAAGTGATGAGCACAGAAGCTCAATCTTCACCATGGGCTTTCAGAGCTGCAGGTAGAGTAAAGGGCCCTTGAAGAAAAGAGGAACTGATAAAAAAGTACAGAGTCTCATCTCCCCTGAGACCCCTAAAGCATCCACCTCAAGTGACAAGGCGTGGCAGGCTGGCTGGGTTTCACTGACATTTGATTATGAAAGGTCAATTGATTTCGGAACATGGAGGCTTGTGGTGTCTGAGAGACTCCAGATGTCAAGAAAGATGTTCATGTACCCTTGGGCCCCATGGCAGATTCCTCACTGCAGCACTAAGTTAGCTCCTGTGGGCTTTCGGGGTGGTGGTTTAAAGTGTTTGTTGCTCCTTTGTACCCCAGGTCCCTGGATGTCACAGGTTAGAACCCTCTGGACCTCCGAGGCCTGTGCTCAGGGCCAAGGCATCGCTGCTGTCTCCAGGCAGCCTCGTGGGCACCTTCTCTCTCCAGGGTATGGGTACCCGTGATGATGTACCCCCAGGTAACAGCACTAGGGGACCTGCCTCCTAGCATTTTACAGAGTGGGGCCTCCTGAGGATTCTCTTCCTGGGGATGTGGCCGGGGGCTATCTTTTTGTCATGCCCAGCTCTTGCTGTGTGCATAGTGGGCCTCCTGCTTAGTGGGTGGTCTGGGTGGCTTCCTGGAACACCTGGCTCAAACGTCTCAGGAACTCACCCCAGCTTTGCCTTGTCTTTGAGGCATGGTGGGCTGGCTCCTCCAGGCTGAGGCTGCCCTGTGGCTGGGCAGGGGGTGTGGGCTGGGCCTGTTTCCTTAGCTGCCTGTGTAGAGGAGTAAGAATTAAATGCAGGGTTGGGGATCCAGTCCTGGTTGTACCTTTGGGGAACCAGCTATGAGTCTCAATTTCCCCTGAAACTGAGGGGACTGGCTCTGCCCCAGGTAGGCTAGATGCCTGTGAGGCCAGAGTTGCTTAACCTTGAAGGACTGGGGAGAGGGACCAGATGACTTTTGCCAAGAAGATAAGGAACCAGAATGGCCAGAGCAGGGCGGCTTGTGGACAGGGCCACATGTTCAGACAGACTGCCTGGCCCTGATGCATTTCTATGAAAACATCAGACCACACCAGACCTCCTCAGCCTTACACTGTAGTGGAGAAGTGAGAGAGGCTGAGGGTGCAGGAACAAGTCTAGATGTAGAAAGAGGATGCTGTTGTTTGAACTCAGAGCAGCCTGGGGAGCTCAGGGGCAAAATGGAAGATCTCTGGGATGTGCTGATGGGGAACTTGGGAAGGTGGCCGGGTAATGGGATGTCTGCAGCCACTGGTGTTCAGGCTTCCGGTCAGGGTGCTGCCTGGAGCAGGTGGCCTAGGGAGCGCAGAGAGTGTGGGATGCATGGTGACAGAGGCCAAGGCGGTGCACAGTGGGGGTTGGTGCCGCTGGGGGAGGGCCGTGGGGACCTGTGCTGAGGAGGACAAAGGCCTAGCCAGAGTTTAGAGCAAGGCTTTTTTTTTTGTGGAACTGGGGATTGAACTCAAGCCTTTGTGCTTGCTGGGGAAGTGCTTATTCTACTGAGCTATCTCCTCGGCCCCTGGAGCAAGACTTTGGACAAAGTTTGGAGGTAGAAAGGGGGCAGAGAGGGAGCAAGCAGGAGGAGTGGGCAAGGGAGGGAGAGCTCGGCCAAGAGGCTGGCCAGAGGGCACTGCCTGGTCTGTCCCCACCCGTGGTGAGGCTCTGGGAGGGTGCGGGGCTGTCACATGCCCTTGGTGCTTCGGGCAGAGACTCTGGAACTGGTGATGGTGCTCTTGGTTTGTGCCCATTCCAGACCTTAGCAGACTCTAAAACATGGCTTTCCTCTTTTGTCCTCAGCCAAAGTTCTGGCTCCAGTGGCCATGTACTGTGGGAGCATCCCTAGGACTAGTGTGGAGCCCCGTGTGCCCCTGCCTGGAAGCATCAGCCCTACTCTGCCAGCTTACAGCCCAGGTGAGATGGGTGGTCCTGGCCTGTGGCTCGGCCACACTACGTGGCCTCTATGGACTTTGGATATGGTTGGAAGGCTCCTCCTGGCAGCTGCCCAGTCAGGGCCACTGACCCCAGGACAGAGCTTGGACTCAGCCTGGCAGGGGAAATGAAGGTGTTGGGATGGATGCCCAGGGTTTTGTCAAGCTATGGTGGGTGATTTTTGTTTGTTTTGTTTTAAAATGGTGTCTCACTGCATTCCCTAGGATGACCTGGAACTCCTGGGCTCAAGGGTCCTCCTACCTAGCCTCTTGAGGGCTGGGACTATAAATGGGTATATTTTTACTATGGTCCCTCCTGCAAATGCCCCTTGGCTATTCCATAGGTTCTTTCAACTCTACCTCAGGGCATAAGAGTGCCCAGGCAGAGACACCAGGAATGGGGCGCTGGCTCTTCTGGGAAGCTGGGGGAGGCCCACAAGCTACAAGAAGACAGGGCCTTGCTTTGTGGGGTCTGTGTTTCAGGGCCTGGAGGGCATCAGGCCTGGGTGGCAGGAGATGGGCACTGCTAGCGTGCCAGCCCTGCTGCGATGCCTCTCTCCGCTCTGCCCTAGCCTCCTGCCACCTTCTGCTCCAGATTCCAGCTTCAAGCTGCCTTTTCAGCAGAGTTCCGTCTCTTACCTGGATAGGGAATTTGAAGGTTCTGGTTCCATGCCCTCTTTTGGGCCGGCTCTACAGGCCTGTGGCTGGCCCGCAGCTTTGCCTGCTTGTGTTGTGTAGCAGCTGCTGTATGGTGTCCGCAGCTCAGGCACTGGGCCTCCAGGAGCCTCCAGGAGGCTGAGTGTGGCTGTGACCTCCCCTGTCTCCGCCTTCCCCTGCTTCTCTGGGTTCTGTGGCTCCTCCAAGGTTGCACCAGTTTACCATGGTCTTCCTGACAGCATGAGGAGCATGTGGCTCTTATCACTGGTGGTGCATCAGTTTGCCTCACGTGAACCTCTTACTCCTCAGATAGATAGAAGTCCATCAGTGACAAAGCCCCGCTTCTGCATCTCCACTGGTGGTGCCTGGCACCTCAGGGCTACTTGAATGAGTAGTTGGGTGGACTCTGATCCACCTCTGGGCATGAGCCTTGTTGCTGGTCACCTAACTGCTCAGCCTGGGGCTGGCATCCATCAGTGCTTGAGGGACCTGAATGAGTTTCCTGGAGACAGGGCACTTGGTCTTGGACAGATGGGCTTCCCTTCTAAGGACTTGTGGCCTTTATCTGTGCTGTGATAACACCCTTTTCTATTCCCTGAGTGCCTGGTGACAAGGCCCTTGCTCAGGCTAGGTGCTTCACAGATGCTGCTGAATGTATAAGTTGCCCTTGGGAGGGACTGGAACGCAGAGTGACTGTGCCAGTGAGTTTGCCAGTACCTGTGCTACCCCAGGCTACATGTCAAGCTGCTCGTGTCTCTGTGCCCCTCAGGCTCCGTCCAGCCTGTGCCAAATGTCCTGCTGAGCAACGAGGAGCCATCACAGCTCTTGCGTGGATGTGGGGACCCAGGCAGCACCACCCTGGATGGCCCTTTGAAGGGCTGGCAGACCAGGAATGGCCACCCCAGGGATCTTAGAGCTCTGTCTTTGGGGCCTCAGCCCCAGGTGTCTGTCACCTTGCTGGAGTCAGAGGCCAACAGTGTGGCCAGAGACACCACCCAAATCAAGGACAAACTCAAGAAAAGGAGGCTCTCAGAGGGCATGGCCGCGTCTTTGCATGGTGAGCCCTGGTCTGTGGCACCTGTCAGCCACTCACCCCAAGGTCAAGTGTCCCAGTGACTCCCTGGGACTGGTTATGGTGCAGGATGGGGCAGGGGCAGTGACAATGTCCACTACAAACCCTTGAGGGCTGCCAGCGTGGTGGTCTGTCTTTCAGGCTGTGGCAGAAGTGTCAAGACAGCTGTACTTCATTAACTTCAAATAAAGGAGGAACAGAAGGAATTGACTATTCTTGTCCCATGCCAGGCGCTGGCTTGGCATTTTATAAGTGGTGTCCTTGAGGCTTTGTGAATGGCCCATTTCACAGAGGAGCATGTGGTGCCAGAGAGGCAGTTCATCGCCCAAGATCATATAGCTTCTTACTAGGGCCAGAACTTGCTGTCCTTAGTCCCGAACTGTGGCCTGGTTTTGTTTTTTTTCCCACCTGCTGCCTTGGAATTGTAAATGGGTGGCTCTGACTGGGGAGGTCTGCTGGTGGGCATGGGGCTCTTCCCTCATGGTCGTCCAGTCTGCTCCAGAGCCTCAGGCTCGGGCATAGCTGCCACTCCATTCTCTTGGGGCTAACTCATTCCACGTCTCCACCCCTTGCAGCCTCTCTGGATCCTGGGGGAGGCACCAAAGGAGTCCCCCTGCGGAGCACTGTGCCCCGCACCACCTCCCAGAGGCTGCTGAGGCTTCCCAGGCCAATGCCTCCCATCCAGAGCATCCCTACCACCCCCGAGGCCAGTGGAGCCAAGGAGAAGGGCCCAGACCTTCCTGGGAGCAGGAAGGGTGCCCAGGAAGCCAGCACTGGTGCTCAGGGGGTAAGCAGCTTCCACAGTCTTACCTGAAGATATCCTTTGTTTTTCTATCCAGACCCCAGCTCCTGTGCCCTGAGTGTCCCTAAAGGTATCCCAGATGCTATCCTCAAGGGTGGCAGGGGCACTGGACGAGACCTCAGTCCCCTCACCCCCAGAACCCAAACCTTCATAGCTGACCTGGAAGCTCTAGAGGAGTAGAGGCCACATGACCCCTGTCCTAGAGTCGGCAGTGCCCAGGCCTTCCTTGGTCTTAATATGCTGAAGTTCTTCCTCCTTGTCTGCCTTCTCCTTTTACTTCAGGGTGCACAGCAGGGGGAAGAAAGCTGGGCTAAGGTTTGAATTTGGGTTCTGCCCTCCCTGGCTGTGTGGGCTGCCCTTCCTTTGGCTGCCATTTGCCTACTTATTGAAGTGGAGGTCCTTCCAGCTCTGACATTCTAGGTTATTTCTGAAATGAGAACTACAAGAAAAAAACACCAAATAGTAATAACAACGACAGGAAAGCTCAACAACAGCTGAAACAAGCATCTCAGCTGGGGTGGTACAGAAACAGTAGCCTTTCTGGGGTCCTGTGTAGCTGAAAAGGGAAATCAGAAGGCACCTCCCAGCCCTTGGCCCTGGCCCTGGGTCCCAGCCCACGTGACTGACGCCTTGGAGCTGAGTGTCTGGTGGGAGGCTTCCATGGACCCGTCTACTCCCAGGTACAGATTTCTCCACAGTACCTGCACTGCAATGATGAGAAGATGCAGAAGTCGCTGGGAGGCATCGTGATCCCCCCCATCTCCAAGGCAAGGGCGTCCGTGGGGACCTCTTCCAGCAGGCCTGGCTCCCTTCCCAGCCCCTTGGTTCCAGGCCATGACGTCCTCATGGGAACAAGGCCCCCTCACACACGGTAAGAGCCCCAAGCCGAGCCTAGCAGTGTTCTCTCCCCCACCCCAAGACCCACTGGGGCTATGCATGGCCAAACTTCCATGCTGGGCACAGCTCTGGAGGGCAGCATGTGGGGTGCAGCAGGGGGAGGCTGCAGCACTGCAGCCAGCATCTCTGGCCATGAGCTCCAGCAGGCTGGGTGTGAGGATGTAACAGTGGCTCGGGCCTCTCTTTTCTCCATTTTCTTTTTTTCTCCATTTTATTTGTGACTGTGGTTGTCATAATGATGAATAAAATATGCATTATTTTAGAATATAATTGAACTCATGGTAGCTCTTTGTTATCAGGTATTTTCTTAATTATCAGGTAATAAAAGTCTAACTCTTATTGTGTTGGTGCAGAGTAGTCCATAAGCCTTTGAACTTAAAAGATGTCTTCAGATGCCCAAAAAGCAGGGATGCAATAGAGTAAGGGACCTCTGTGCTGTGACAGTCCTGGGTTTGTGGCTCATCAGCAGGATAGACAGCATGCCCTACATCCCTGTGGTCAAGCTAAACAGATGCTAGAGCAAGTGTGTGTGTGTGTGTGTTTGTGTGTGTGTGTGTGTGTGTGTTTGTGGGTCTATGTGTGTCCGTGTTTGCATGTGTACGTGTTCAGGTGCAGCTAGAAAGGCCTGTGGGTGTGTCTGTATCTGTGTGCATGTTGTTGGTGTCTCTGATGCCAGTGCCCTTGTGTGTGACTATGTGCTCATGGCTGATGGGCCTAGCTGGTGCAGTTGACCAAGCTCCATCTCTGCAGCCTGCTGTTCTGAATTCTCCCCTCTCTCTGCGCGCTCTCACTCTGTCAGCTCCCGTGCTGCCTTCTCTTCTGTCTGCACCCACGTTCCCACATCTCTGCAGCCCTGGTGGGGTGTGGCTACTGTCCATGTACCTTCAAACTGTTGTCTGCCCCACTGACCTCCCCTCCAGCACTGTGGCCTCCTGTTCCCCCTGCATGCTATTACTAGGGGCTGCAGTGACTCTGCTCTCCCCTCTCATCTTATTACCCCTGACGTTCTTTTGCATTGCTTGGCTCTCTGGCCACCTTAAGCTTTGTCCTGTGGGCTCTTGACCTTCCAGGGGTTCTCCTGCACATCCTCCCTCCCCCATCTTTAAGCCTGGCTATTCCTGCACTTTGTTCCTGGGGCTGCCTTGCTTTCTCTGGGGGCCTCATCTGTGCATGTGGCCTCCAGAGTCACATGAGTCTGGGTGTCTTTGCATCTCTCGCCCTAGCCCTGTCCTCTTCCTAGGGGTCCCTCCTGCAGCTGGGTATTTCACGGTCCTCCTGACTGTTACACATGAGTGTGAGAGGGAGGCAGGGAGGATGTGCCAGTGTTATGACAAGAGGCGCCTTGAATCACCCCCTCCCGGGAACTTCTTATTCCATCAAGCTGCAGGTGTGTGCCTTGGTCTTCCCTTAGCAGCAGCGGCTGGGGCTTTTCCTCCTGGTGCTGCCTGCTGCTGATTGCCACATCACCCCAGTCTTTCCTACAACACAGGAGCTCTCACCTCGGTCTGGTCCCTGTCTTCTCATCTTACTCACTGGCTCCCCGCAGCCACTCCTAGTCTGCCCTCTGTATCCTTTGGTCCCCATTCTCTTCCATCTTTATCCCCTTCCCCTGTCTTTGGGACCCCCCTGCCCTTTGCTTCTCCTGTGCAGGCTTTACGTTGATTCTTGTTGTTCTGAACCTCAGCTTTCCCTCCTGGGCCACACTGTAGGAAGTTTTGCCCCTCTGTGCTTGTGCTGCCTGTGGGATGGGAAGCCTGTGGCCCTGACAGTGCTGTCCCTTGCCCAATTTTCTGCTGCCCAACACCACTTTTCTTTCTCCACCATTTCTACCTCTACTGTCCATCTCCTTTTGATTATTTTATTTAAATAACACATTTTGGCTATGTAAATATATTTTTTCATATTTTCATATTTTATTTTATTTCATGTAGACCTCATCTGTTCCTTAACTTAGAACACTGCGAGGCTTCCTGTGGCTTCCTAGCAGGGCTTAATTGCTGATTTTTATTTTGTGTTTTGAGATAGAGTCTCCCTATGTAGTTCACACTGGTCTTGAACTCAGTGATCTTCCTGTCTCAGCCTCTGGAGTGCTGGGATTATAGGCATGTGCCACCATGCCCCGCTCTCTGGCATGGATTAGTTACATAATAAATACCTTCCCCACACTGTTGGGCTGGGACTGGGATTTCTTGTCAGAGGCTCTGTGAGTCTCTCCAGCAAATGGATGGGAAGGAGACTGCACTGCCATTTCACTCCTTTACCCATCCACCCCTCTCCTATATGGGTGTTAATGACCTACTTAGAAACATAGGCCAGTAGGACAGAGCATGTACACTCCAGAGAGCCACTGGCTGAGCGCAGTCCAGAGAGGTGGGAGGTAAGTGGCCTCTCAGGTCAGGAAGCCTAGCAGGAAAGGATTCTGAGTCGTGCCAGAAAGATGTCTTAGGTGGAATTTGGAAGGCCGAGGGAGAGTTTGACAGATGGAGGAGAAAGAGACCCAAGGTGGAGTGACTGTGGAAGCTGCAGGGCATTGCCAGGTGTGTGCACCTGCCCTTGTGAGACAGGTCAGGCGCGCAGGAGGAAGGGCCCCATGAGTTCAGTGGGGGGCTGAGGTGTGTGGAGGGAGTACCAGCTCTGATTTCAAAAGGTGGTTTCACAGCCAGAGTGGTGTGGCAGTATGTGTGGAGGTGAAGGCCATGGCGGGAACTGAGGGGGGTGAAGCTGTAGGCACCTGAGTGGGGTGGAGGCAGAGGCTGGGGCCTGTGATAGCCGGTCAGGCGCAGACTGGGGGTGGCTCAGAGGGGGCAGCTAAGCCCTGTGTTGGATGGGTGCTGGGACCCTACACAGAGATGGAGAGGGGAGCAGGCTGGAGCTGGGACCGTGGGGAGGTGGTTTTTGGGTGGAATCAGCTTATGGTCCCCTGGGATACGCCCCATGGTGGTGTGTGACTAGGATTGGAGGGGAAGTGAAGATGGCATGGCGGAAAGGAAGAGCAAGGGCCGGTGAGATAGCTCAGTGCACTAAATCCCTGCCTAGGCAAGAGCAGGGACTGTGGTTCAATCCCTAGCACCAGAAGCCCTACCAGTCTGGCCCCCAGGGGTGCTGAGCCAGCTACCCAGAAGGGGTGTGGTGGCACAGGCCTCTAATCTCGGCACTGGCAAGCTGAAAACAGGAGGATTAGGAGTCCAAACTGCGTAGTGAGACCCTGTACCAAATACATAAAAATAAAAATATAAAAAATAATAAATAATAAGAAGGAGCAGCTAGGACACTGTTGAGGCACACCATAGGTGGTGTCTATCTTGGCTTTGGGGTTTCCTGCTGTGGGTATCTAGGATGGAGGAGGTGAAAGAAACAGTGTTGGTTCTCTGAGACCCTGGTTCCACCAGGTCTCCTGCCTGCCCTGGCCTGGGTTGTCTGCTGTGAAGCCAAGATGCCGTATCCTGTCCCCTGGCGGCAGCTTATTACCCCACCAGCCCAGCAGGCCCTGGTGGCTGCGGCACAGCTGGCTTCCCCGGGAGTCTAACCTCCACGAGAGCAAGAATTGTGTTCTGTCAGATGGATGCTGTACTGCCAGGGTCTGGGTAGTAGCATTCAGCAATTATCTGGCACATAGTAGGTCTTCAGTAAATACCTGTTGAACAAGTAGGGCTGCTTTCTTTAAAAAATGTCCATCAAAACGAGTGTCAGAGATGTTTCCACCTTCCCTTCCTGTGGCTGATCAAGTTTGAATTCCTAGTATAGAAAAAAAGATGATTTCCAGTCAAAGCAAAAGGACTCACACCCTTCAGATTTTCCCAAAGCATGGCAGAAGTGGGGAGAAATATTTGGGGATCACTGAGCTCCCCTAGATAGGGGCATTTATAGAACTTGAGTGCTGAGCTGGGGGACAACTTACCCTCCTCACCGCAGCTGTTGTGGCTCTGTGGCCCAGGATGCCACCACAGGGGTGGGGGGCAGTCGCTTTGTGAGTGCCGCTGCTTCGAGCCACCCTGGGGGCCCTCCCCGCAGCACCTGTACTTGGTGCCTCTCACTCTACTCCTTTTCCTCCATTCTCTTAAGACTGGTTCAGGAGAATGGGCCTCAAGAGAAGACCCCTAGATCCTCAGGTACGTATTCTCTGCAAGCAGGCCCCACGCTTATTTCTGGCTCTTCTGTTCCTGGGTCGGGCTTCACAGATGGGAAGCTGCAGCCACCTGTGGCCCCCATGGGAGGGTGGCAAGAAAGGAACAGTGGTGGTGGCACCAGCTCTGCCAGGTGTGTTGGCCCACTCTGGTTCACATAGCGTGTGGAGGCCCAGACAGGAGGGACTGTGCTGCCTCTGATGGACAGGTGAAGGTCAGGCTGAGGCCCTGGTAGGGGCCACGACCCCTGCTCCCTGTGGGGCTCACCCTGGGGTCTGTGCATTGTACATATCCTTTTTTTTTTTTTTTGGCAGAACTGGGGATTGAACTCAGGCCCTTGTGCTTGCCAGGGAAGCGCTTATTCCACTGAGCCATCTCCCCAGCCTGGGGCTGTGCATTGTAATGTGGTGCTGTGCCCTTTGCTCTGTTTTGAGGACTGGACAGACTGAGAAATTGAACCATATCCCACAAACCCAACCCTTCCTCTGTGGGTCCGTGCAGGTCTCAGTCAGGGGAACAGGGCCAACTCCAGGATGAAAGTGAGAAGGGCAGAGTAGGAGGCTTTCGGAGGCAAGGCAGAGGAGGGAGGGCACAGGGATCTGTTTTGGAGACCAAGGACCCCGTGCTGTGGGGAGGGACAGGAAGCTGCGCCATGGCTATGGGGTGGGAAGTGAGGCCCAGGCCTCTGGAGCACCCTGAGCGGTGGGTGTCAGCGGCAGCTGCTGACCAGGGTGAGGTGCTGGCCTCCTGGCAGCTCCTCGCTAACTGGCTTAGTGGTACGTCACTGCCCAGCAGGCGGCAGGCTGTTCCCCAGGAAGCCCTGGCTCAGGATGCTGTACAGCAGCCCTGGCACCAACTTCTCGTGGCAGCTGCTTCTCTCTGACCTCTGGCTGGCTGTGGCGGGGTGACCCCAGGAGACACGAGAGCTCCGCTTGTGACTGCTGATATGGGGGCCTGGGCCAGGAGACCCCATCACGGGTGACTTTGGAAGCCTGCTCAAACAGACTGTCCTGGGTGTCTCTTAGGGGTATAGGCGAGAATGTGGGCTGTAAGATAGCAAAGTCCTTAGAGGACTCTCTTTGATCCTCCAGCCTGTCACCTGAGGTGATATCATATGATATGTGTCATACGCTAAGCACACAGCTAGCTGGAGTGAGGGGACCCTAAGCCTCGAGGCGTTCCTGCAGACTTTGTCCTATTCAGCTGTCCCCTGGCTACCAGTGCCCTCTGCCCTGCCTTTTACTTCTGAGTCCCCTGACCCCCATCCTTCTCCCTGTCCTCGGCAGAGGGATCCTGTGCAGAAGGCGGAGGGCCAGGTAAGCAGAACCCTGCGCAGAAGCCCTCTGGCACCCTCTGCAGTCGGGGGCAGCCCCATATGGGTGCAGGTTTTCCCAAGGGCAGTGAGCTTCACATCTGGTGACCAGGAGGAAATCAAGAAACCAGTTCCTGTTCTATCTCCGTAATAATAAATACACTTTAACTCCATGGAATAGGTGTGGTGACAAAAAGGTGCTATGGATCTGATGGTTTTGGAGGTGAACTTATATTTTTTCAGTTACAAGGGCACCTGAAGGTGGTTGGGTCTCAGCTTTCCCATCTGTGAGATGAGAGGGTTGGAACAGCATTAATTAGTTCTCTGGCCCCTTCCAGCTCTGCTCCATGGGTATAAAATGGTTATGGGCTTGTATTTGCTTCTTTTCCTGACCCTGTTTCCTGCCCACTGTCTATCTTAGAATTAGGTGTAAAGTACTTGTAGGATGAGTGAACCAGTAAAGAATAAATGAATGAATGGAGGACAGACATGACCCAGCATTCTTTGCGAAGGTCTAATCTTTTCCATTAAGAAGTGTTGGCAGGAGCATGCAGGGTAGAGGACTTGGGCAGTAAAGTCACACCAGCCACAGGCTGTCCTCAGCTCCATCTCTGCTCTTGACTCCTCAGAGCCCAAACCTTTGGCCCAACCCATCCAAGACAGGTCAGCCCCTGCGGCCTCCAAGAAGTCCCTGGCTGTCTCCCATTCTGCTCCTGTGCTGACGACCTTCTCCTTAGGCTATGCCAAAGAAGCCCACCCCTTGCTGAAAGCAGAAGACCAGAAGGAAACCAGCACCCAGGTATCTGAGCAGTGAGTGGAGGAGGAAGTCAGGTGGAAGTGGACTAGTTGATTTCAAGCAAGTGTGGAGCCAGCAGATGGGAAAGAGAGCAGAGCCCAGGGAGCCAGGGCTGGGACCTGTGCCGGGTCTGGTGGAGGGCTGGACAGAGGAAGAGAAAGAAGGCCAGGGCAGTGGGGGCAGAGACTGGGAGATGGAGAGAGTGCTGAGGGCAGCTGAGGGGCAGAGGTGGGAAGGAGGAAGGACAGAAGGAGGTCACATGTGGGCTGGAGGAAGCAAGATGTAAGGGAGGGCACACAGGACTTAGGTGAACCAAGCTGAGTAATTGGAGCTGACCCCGAATATAACCACAAAGAGGCAGCTGACTCAGGCTTACTGCTGGAGGCTGTGCTGGACAGGCTGACAAATTCCTTGTACTTATAAGGTGATCTTGGGTGTGGCTTCTCTTTCCTGCTTGGGTTGAGTTTAGTAAAATGTGAAATCGGGGCTTATTGTTTGGCACAGAGATATAGCACGACCCATGAGCGTCGTGCTACGGGCAGGCGAGGCCACAGAAGGCCAACATCCCAATAATTCCATGCAGCAAAATGTTTCATCCGCTGCCTCACTTCAGCAGCTGCCTCTTGGTCACTCTACCCACTGTGCCACAGCACATCACTTCCCTCCATCACACCCCAATTCTACAGGCTCCCCCCTGGCCCCTACCATCTCCTGGCATTCTGACTCAGTCTACCTGATGCCCCAACCCCAGCATCTGAGCACTTTCTTGCACCAACGACTTTCTCCTTGAAATCGGATTATGCCTCACATATGGCTTCTTTCATTTTAAGCATGGGGACGAAGCCCAACCAAATCTATTATATGCATATCTCTTCCCATCTCTCCTGAGCCGCTGCCTGTTGGGTGAGTCTTGCCTGTCCCACCAAAACTGCCCATACCAAGCTCTCTGATGCCCTTTACCTTCCACAGTATAGCTGCGTTGCAGTTCGACCTTGACCAAGAGGCAGCTTCCAACTCAGCTTGGGATCTTCCTCTCTTGAATTCTCCATGCAGGGACGGCAGTTCTCTGTCTCTATCAAAGGCAGCTTCTTGCCTGTCTTTCTTGCTGGCTTCTCTTCCGACCTCAGAGTCCAAGTCCCTAGGGGCTTAGTCCTCTGGCCCTGGTCCATTCTGTCCCTCCAGAGGGCCTGCTCTAGCCCATGACACCTAGCACTATGCTGAGGATTCCTAAACTCCCTTGCCAACTCCCATGCTCTTCTAGCCTGCAGACTCACTGAGTTCCACTCAACATCTCCACTGAGCTATCTCATGATATTTCAAGCCCACCTTGCCTAAAATTGAACTCTTGAGTCCTCCCTGCCCGTGAACACCAGGGAAAGGCAGCTGCTGCCTTCTAGTCACAGAGGCCCCAATCCCACCCAGGCTGACCCCTTTCTCTGTCCCCCACACCTCATGTGTCAGTAAAGATGGGAAACACATTGCCGGCTCCACCATCCCCACCTCGCTGTCCTGTTCCGGGGCCTGCACCTCTTGCACAAGTGCTCAGTTGTCTCCTAACTGCTGTCCCTGCTCTGCCTGCCCACCAGCCAGCCTGATCCCTGGGAAACAGAAACCAGAGGCTCTGCGTCTGTCGAAGATGGCACTGCTGTGGGAGGCACAGGAACTCTCGGTCCTGTTTCTATAGGTTCTAGGAGTCTCAAAGCATTTTAAATAAAAAGCTATGAAAAATGCCCCTCAGCCCCCAAGAGGAAGCAAGTCCCTTTATCCCTATGCTGTTTCTCTCCTGGCAAGAATCCCAGTCCAAAGTCTCTGCTCAAGACCTTAAATGGCTTCCTCTGACCTTTCAAGGAATAGCCCAGGGCCTTGCTGTGGACTACAAAGCCCAGTGTGGAAGGGGTCCCATCACCTCCCAGCCTTGTCTCCTACCCCTGCTCTGACTCAGTGCTCTGGTCAGTGACCTGCCCATGCAGGCATGCTCTGGCCTCAGGGCCTTTGCATTTGCTATGCTAAGAGGCCTTCTTTTCTGGAAACTGCATGTCTTGCGTTCTCCCTTCTGTTATGTTTCCAGTTAAATTTCGCCTCTGCAGGGATTCTCTTTGGGCTTGCTCTACCACACTGTCACATCTATCTCTTTATTTTTGTCTTAGCACAGAGAGTGACATTCGCCTGCTTACTGTCTCTCTCCCCATCTTATGCAACTCTCACTCTCAGTGGGGCCAGGGTTTTACTATTATTATTCTTTATTTCCTTCTAGAACAGTGAAAAGCTCAGGGAGGCACTCACATTTCTGACAACTGAATGAATGAAGGGGTGGGAAGTGCTGTTGGGTTCCCCAGGCTAATGAAGCTTGCTTTGACCCTGTGCCAGTACCAAGTCACCATCTCCAGGTCTGCCCAGGAGAAGATGCGGCTGAAGCAGATGAAGGAGATGGAGTTGTTCCGGAGGGTGAAGGACTCAGAGAGGGAGTGGGAGCTCGCTCCCCAGGGTCTGGCCTCGAGGAGCACCTTAGTGAAGGAAGGTACTGGGTGTGTGGGGCAGAGCCCTTCAGGCTGGAGAAGCTTCCTGGCCAACCCCTGGGTCCTCAGTCTGCCAAAGGAGGTGCCTGCCTGCAGCTTCCCACCCTCCCCACCTTGAGACTGGCCAGGGAGCCAAGTGCACTGCCTCCTAGTCTGCTGATGGGCCCATTTCCACAGGGGGTATTGCAGTCAAGACCAGGCAGGACAGGCCCAGTCCTAGAACTTTCTCTGTCTCCACAGGTCTCCTTCCCCTGCGGGGCAGTGGTACGCTCTCTGTGCCCACTGGGTTGAACAGCCCACGCAGAAACAATGGAGGCATCCTCCTGAGGAAGCGGGCCAACCGGTCTTCCCTACCCAGCATCCCTGTCAGCAAACAGGAGCCCCGCTTTTCCCGCCATGCATCAGGTGGGCTTAGACCCTGCCTGTGATGCCTTGGAATGCTCCAGGAATATAGGGGACCTCAGTTGCTTTTCTTAGCCCATTGCCCATGTTAGGCTAGGGGGAAACCTGGCCTTTCCAGGGAGACAAAGAGTCTGGGACCTATAATGATCTGTGGGCCAGGCTGCAGACCTGTGATACCACATCTGGGATAGTGGATAGCTAGGCAGGTGTGCCTGCCAGTGTGGCTTGTCCTAGAGGAATCACAAGGGTACCAGGACCAAAGACTCTGGCAAACAGCATCCTAGGAAGTAATTGTGAACACCAAGGGAAGAAAGAGATAGTCCTGGGGAGCCCTGGATTCCCACGTATTGCTCCAAGCTGTCAGGGCTGCACAGCAATGGGTATGGACTGGGGTGAGAGAAGCCACAGTCCATACCTGAGAAAGGCGCCACAGGACCAGCCACCTTTGGGGCTCTGTCCTCAGTCTACCAGGGAACTCCAATTTGGCTTCATTTTTTTTTTTTTTGTAAACGTGAGCTTTCATTTGGAAAGACTTTGTTTCTAGAACACATTTGCTGGGCTGGTGAAATGGCTCAGTGGTCTAAAGCACCTACTTAGAACAAGCTTAGCAATGCACATGGACCGCGGTTCAATCCCCCAGCACCACATGCCAGCCAGCCCCACCCCCAGGCAGGCTGAGCTGGACACACACACACACACACACACACACACACACAATAAATAAATAAAATAAATAAATAAATTTTAGAACACATTTGCTTATGACCAATTTGGTCCAGAGTTTCCTGCAGTGTAGCACCTGGCAGACAATGGTGCTAGACTGAAGTGTAATGTGGATGCCATAGACAGTATTGACTTGTTGCCTTTTTCAATTCTATCTTTTTTATTGTATTTTTTTGTCTTAATCTTTTTATTAACTTTATTGAGAAAAAAATAGCAATGAGACAGTTTCAAAACAGGTTAGTA